TCCTTATATCCAGTCTAAACTTCCCCTGTTTAAGTTTCAACCCCTTACCTCTTGTCCTGTCACTACAGTCCCTCCCCTAGCATCCCTATAGGCCCCCTTCAGATACTGGAAGGCTGCTATGAGGTCTCCACGCAGCCTTCTCATCTCCAGGCTGAACAGCCCCAACTTTCTCAGCTTATCTTCATCCTCATGGCCCTCCTCTGGACTTGTTCCAACAGTTCCATGTCCTTTTTATGTTGAGGACACCAGAACTGCACACAATACTCCAGGTGAGATCTCACAAGAGCAGAGTAGAGGGGCAGGACCACCTCCTTCGGCCTGCTGGTCACGCTCCTTTTGATGCAGCCCAGGTTGCTTTCTGAGCTGTGAGCACACACTGCAGCCGGCTCATGTTTGTTTTCTCATCGAGCAACACCCCAAGTCCTTCTCCGCAGGGCTGCTCTGAATCTCTTCTCTGCCCAACCTGTACCTGTGCCTGGGATTGCTCTGACCCAGGTGTAGGACCTTGCACTTGTCATGGTTAAACTTCATAAGGTTGGCATCAGCCCACCTCACAAGCTGTAATCTGTACCTAACAGTGTAAGGCTAGAATTGCTCTCAAAGTTTTCACAGGGGGAGGCAAAAGTATTGAAGCAGCTGGATGGTTGCTTGTGCTTTTTTGAGCTCCTGGCAAGTAGTAATAAGTTTTAAAGAAATTATTTGTCTTACATTGTGTTCTGAAGAACTTTCCCTTCAGAATAACTAATGAGCGCAGAAACATAAACAGCAGTGTGAGGCTTGCATTTATGTTTTCTGTTTTGCGGGATTTTACTTAAGGATTCAAACTCTTAATTCTCCTTAATGCTCAGAAGATGAAATTATTTTTTTTTTTTTACTCTACAATCAACTCCATTACGAAAGACTGAAATGCAGTTTCTTTCCCCATTGTTCATTGAGGCTGCTGATAAGAGTGCTTTTGGAGGGAAATAACCTTTGAAATCTGTGTAGGATATTTATTTCTAGAAGTTAACAAAGTAAGGGAGTGGGTATCCTGTTACTTAAGATTTTCTTTCTTGGAGCAGGCCTCAGTCTCAGCAGGCAAGCTTTGAGTGCAGTCACCCTTTTTTTTTTTTTTTTTTTCTTTTTCCTCCTTTTCTGAAATACTGTGCTTAAAAGAATGGAATGGAATTGTACAATGCTGGGTAAAATAACGGAGGTGTCTTGCACTGTTAAGTCTGCTCTTAAAGGGCGAAACTTTGAGGTTACACTGAAACCATATCTAAGTGTAGAAGAACAAAGGCTTGCTCCATATGCTCATCGGGATCAGCAGCAGCAATATTTTACTCCGTAAGTATCTCTGCCAAATAACTCTAAGTAACACTGCTTGCTAATCCTGGATTATAGTTGGCTTGAGAAGATTAAAAAGAAAAATACATCAGTTCTTGATGTATATATTTGGAAATTAATTGCTAGGTGAATGTGAATGTTTTTTCTGTATTTCCCCCCTCCCCCTTTTCTCTTAGGAGAGCAAAGCTAGCAGCTGTAAGCAGGTGTTTGTGTCTTAACGTCTCTGGTTTATATTTCCCCTGTTGACATTTCAGAATGCTTTAATTTGAAATGTATGATAGATTACATTCTACAAGCAGGTAGAAGTTCATTTCATAACTAAATATTTTTTTTTCTGTATTCACATCTTAGATTCACCATTTGCCTTTTTCCCTTGTGTTTATTACACTTGTATTTATCTTGGAATTACTGCCTGCTTTTGTTTCTCAACTTCTTGGAAGTAGTCTTCAGCATCTTGAATCTTGTGCTGTGTAACTTCCTCCACTTTGGCTACTTGATCCTCAAGTTCAAATTATTATTTCCACCATTTCTACTTTCTAATGTGAAAATTTTGTTGACACATTCTTATTTTTTCATATTAACTTTTTTGTTAATTTTTTCCTGTGGTAAATATATTCCCATATAAGATATTCCATATCTTAAGCAGTGTCTGCAGAGTTTTATTCATGCAACGCTTGTTGATTCTTTAGCCAGATACTATTTTTTTTGAAAAGTAGTTGCTTTGTTGGTTGTGCCAATGAACTGAAGCATCCTCTTACCAATCGTATGAGAATTAGGTGATCACAATTTAGTAATAATGTCCTGTGCTTTAGCTTTTACTGATGTCTTACTTTCAATTTGTGTATAAATATGTGAAATAGCAGTAGGAAATTGGAAGCAAGAGCACAGGACTAGAAGCAACTGTCTAAATCAAGTCCAGTCTTCTGCTAACTTTGATAACTGTATTGTATAGGTTCTTTCACAATTTAAGCTTAAAAGGTAAGGATTGAGACTTAAGCAGAAGGCATTAGAAGTATCTGAAATTTCTATATACAACTGGAGCAGTCTCAGCCAAGATGCTTCAAGCTGATGTGAAAGAACTGAGACTTACTTGGTATCCTTTGAGAAACATATGGACAGAAACGGCCAGCAAAGTAAGCTATCTGTGTGTCCAGGAACAATGGGAATAAAGAGAACCACCAAAAATTAAGCCAAATGCTTCCAATTTTTTTCTTTTAAAAATAATTCTTAAGTATTTTAAGATGTCAAGTGACGCCAGTATTTACAACAAACCATCTATATTGAGTTGGTTATTTCATTGAAGAAGCATTTTTGAAAAAGCAGTTAGATTGCAGTTGGAAGTGTGATGCAGTTACCTGCATCCTGAATTTTGCATGGTTTTCTTCTGACTTGTTAGGAAAAAAATGGTTGGGTTTTTTTTTTTTTTTTTCTGGTTGGGTTCGTCCGCCCTGCCCCCATCATCTGGTTCTGGTTCTTAATTTTGTGGATTTATAGTGAAGTGTGTGGGCAATGTAGATTGCTTATAGAGGGGCACAGAACAGACACAGTACTGGGTCTGAAGATATGAAAGGTATCTCTATTAAATAGAGTGACTCTATCCCTTTCAAGTAGAAAAATACTGTTTAAGGGTTTATGAAGGAATGGTTGGCAACATTTTGTCTCATTGTAACTAAGTCTGGCTTTGCCTTAAATCTCTTCCCCACCTGAAATCTGAGGGCTGTCATATGTCAGAATATATCCAGATTTCACATTCACTTTTGCAATCCTGTCTGGACATACTTGGTCTTGCTGAGGAGGCTTTAATTTTCCCCATAGAAGCTCTCGTAGTGCTGTGCTTTGCATTTTATATAGAAGGGTGTTAATGACACACCAGTGTTTTGACTACTGCTGGGCAGTGTTTGCACAGCATCAAGACCATGCAGCATTGTCTCCCTCTGCCTACACTGAGGAAGAGAGTGGCAGAGTGGCTTGGTGGACTCCTTGTGTCCAGACAAGGTCAGCCCACCACCCTGGATTTCTGTTGCCCTTCACTGTGTGAAAGTTCACAGAGTTTGTAAACTTGGAAAGTTTTTAGAGTTCTTTGGAATATCAGTGTCTCTTCCTGAGTCATTCTTTGCTTTGTATTTTTTAGTATTTCAGCAGTCTGGGCATTACAAAAGGCTATTTCTTCAAAGAATCTGTTTTATAAACCTTCAGAGTCTAGAAACCGATCAATCACCATCTAACTACATTTATAAAAAGACAAGGAAGGTGAGGTTTCCTTTTAGTGATGGCTAACGAAAAGCTGTATGTGCAAGAGAACATTCTTACTGACTTAAGATTTCACATGAGAATTTTACTTCAGCTGTAAAAAGTGCCTGGACGCCATATGGGTGTAATCTTATGGCATACAGAATAGATATATTACAGATCTGAGGCTGTTAATTGTGAAAACAGGGCGTAGCAATTTACAGTCCGGAAAGGCAGATGAAAACATAAGGTTATATGCTTGTTCTCATAGAAATTTAGACAGCACTGAAGTCTGCTATTGGTCTTTTAAGCTGATATTGGTCTTGTAAGCTGATACTGTATTTTAACACAAACATGTCAGTCTTGGCCTATTACATTTGGTCCTCCCTGGAGCAAAAGGGAGGGGCAAGTGACTCCCTGGTTCAGTCTAAGCTGTTCTCTTGAGCCAACACTTCAACCTTCCAGGCAGGGTTCAGCTAACAGCTGATTAAAATTAAATGGGCTTCCACTATTGTTGGAATCTGATACATTATTTTATGCATCAGGGTCCTACACCTGGGTCGGAGCAATCCCAGGCACAGGTACAGGTTGGGCAGAGAAGAGATTCAGAGCAGCCCTGCGGAGAAGGACTTGGGGTGTTGCTCGATGAGAAAACAAACATGAGCCGGCTGCAGTGTGTGCTCACAGCTCAGAAAGCAACCTGGGCTGCATCAAAAGGAGCGTGACCAGCAGGCCGAAGGAGGTGGTCCTGCCCCTCTACTCTGCTCTTGTGAGATCTCACCTGGAGTATTGTGTGCAGTTCTGGTGTCCTCAACATAAAAAGGACATGGAACTGTTGGAACAAGTCCAGAGGAGGGCCATGAGGATGAAGATAAGCTGAGAAAGTTGGGGCTGTTCAGCCTGGAGATGAGAAGGCTGCGTGGAGACCTCATAGCAGCCTTCCAGTATCTGAAGGGGGCCTATAGGGATGCTAGGGGAGGGACTGTAGTGACAGGACAAGAGGTAAGGGGTTGAAACTTAAACAGGGGAAGTTTAGACTGGATATAAGGAAGATGTTCTTTACTGTAAGGGTGGTGAGGCACTGGAATGGGTTGCCTGGGGAGGTTGTGAATGCTCCATCCCTGGCGGTGTTCAAGGCCAGGCTGGACAGAGCCTTGAGTGACATGGTTTAGTGTGAGGTGTCCCTGCCCATGGCAGGCAGGCGTTGGAACTAGAGGATCATAAGGTCCTTTCCAACCCTAACTATCCTATGATTCTGTGATTCTATGATTTTACTAAATGCTTTATTATACTAGGCCAGCATGTTAACAAATACAACATAAAAAGTGAGCAAGAAGGATCGGTGTTTCACCTTCAATTGATGAATTCATGCAAGAATATAGAAATGGTATTCTGTTTTGGTTTTTACATTTTCTAATTGATGCTGAACTGTGTTTCTACCATAGAAATGAAGACCTAAAACAAATGTTGGAAAGCAGTAAAGATTCTGCAAAGCTGGATGCTATGAAAAGGATTGTTGGGGTATGTGTTGTTTGTTTTTTTTTTTTAATTATTTTTATTTCTTGGATGTGAATACTGTTTTTCCTTTACAGATCCTTTATCAAGTCAGCATTGGAATCTCTAAATGATGTTTAAAAGCTACTGTGTAGTCCTTAATTTGAAATCTTGTGAAGAAATTGCTGTATCAAAATCCATACAGTCCCATGTTTTAAAAATATTTATATAACTGCTAATATGCCTGTAAATAATTATTTTCAGTATGGAGGTGAGACCCTAAATAGGAAATGGCTCCTTCAGAAAAGCTTCAGTGGCTGTCTTTGTTCAACAGATGGGAAACAGCAGACACTTGCAGGAGTAAAATGACAAATTGCATTTACTATTTTTACTTTAGGTTATGTATGTGGGGTGTTTTTTTGTTGTTTTTTGTCTTTTTTTTTTTTGTTGTTAATGAGCATGTTGCCTATATATTTGGCTAAGAATTTCAGGTGAACTGTGTTCCCATAGAGGTGATTAAATAATGTTTAACGCCATTGTGTGTTTAAATCCTATAAACTGAACATAATGAAGTTGATAACGTCCTTTGATTTCTTCTTAAGAGGGTTTGAAGAATGTACTATAGAAATCTGTTCAGTGTCCAGTTTTATTTTTTTTGACTTCTGCGTTTGCTTTCTCTCCCTGTTCCTTCAGCCTCCTCTAGGTGGGCTTTTTTGTTTTCCTTGATTTACACGGATTAATCCTATCCAAGCACCTACTGAAGTAAGTAGGTACAGGTTGTATCATGCAATTGTATTCTTTTCTCTGAGTCTAGAACTAGCCATTTGTCCTTTATCCTCTAGTGATGAAGATTTACTCAAGCTGGTTCTCTTCTGCTTTTGTCTTTAATCCTGGTCCTGACAGAGGCATCAATTACCTATTAGATCTGCCTAACCTGTCAACTCAACTACTATTTCATAACTTTATGAAAGGTTCCTCAGGGTTTAAACAGAGTCTGGCATGCAGAGGCGAAGGTGCTGTTGTAAGAAAACATGGCCTTTGGAAGTGCCATGGTTTCAATCTATGGTAACTTAATTTCTTCTGCTTCTGTCAGAAAAGATCTTTCTGCTGGCTGGGGAGAGTTGCCTGTTGCTCCCTTGGTTTTCTTTTTCAAAAAGGTGGCCAGAAATTTATCTGTATTTGGAAACTGTTCCAACTGAATGTGTGTGTGTGTATGTATATGGGGGAATTAGAAACTATTAGATTGGGTCAGTTGTAAATTTTAAACCAGAGCTTTACTAGATTGATTTTTTTTTTTTATTTTTCTTTCTTACAAACAATGCTCTCACTATAAATGAATATGCACTCATTTTAAATACCTGCTGCTGCTACATATTCAAAGCAGTTCTTAACAACTGTTCCTTTAATTTCCTACAAGTATATAATGCCATGAAGTTGGAGATACGTAGAGATACATGAAGTTAGACCACTGGTAACTGTGGTCCTTGATTGTCTTATGCTGGGCTCAGGAACTCTTCAGTAAGGGAAGCAGAACTGAATTGAGCACATGCTTTCTTCTGCTCCCCCATTTCCCAGTTCCAGATTCTTGTCCTTTTTTAAGTTCGTAGTCTGTTCTATTAGAATTACAGGATTGTTTGTTTTTAGTCTCTTCCATGTTTTCAAGGTTTTTGCTGTTATCCTGTCCTATGAAACACAGTTTAAACACATCTTGTACCAACCTCTGGTTCACCTAACAAACTGAAACAGTGAGCTTTACAGGCCAGAACTGGGACCTTGCACAATTAGTAGAAGGCCTCATAGCAGTGGTGGGGCACAAAGATGCTTGTTACCAGTTTTGTGGTTTGTCGTGGTTTAAACCCAGTCAGGCAACTCGTTCACTCACTCCCGCCCCCCTTCTTTCCCTCCCCCTACTCCCGGAGGGATGGAGAGGAGAATCGAAAGGAATGCAACTCCCACGGGTTGAGATAAGAACAGTTTAGTAACTAAGGTATAGCACAAATCACTACTGCTACCACCAATAATAACAATGATAAAGGAAATAACAAGGGAAGAGAATAAAACATCTCACCACCAGCTGACCGATAACATGCTGCCCCCCCCCAGCCCAACCAAGCACTAACCGATGCCTCCTCCAACCCCACAGTCTCCCAGCCCTTCCAGCTAACTCTCAGTTACCTCCTGGGCATGACGTGCTGTGGTATGGAATACCTCTTTGGTCAGTTTGGGTCAGGTGTCCTGTCTCTGCTTCCTTCTGGCTTCCCCTCCTCCCTGGCAGAGCATGAGGCTCACAAAGTCCTTGGCCAAACCAAAACATCCGTGTTATCAGCTCTGTTCCCAGGCCAAAAGTCAAAACACTGCACTGCACCAGCTACCAAGAAAGAGAAAAATAACTGCTACTGCTGAACCCAGGACATTATCCACCCCTTATTCCATACCATTCACGTCATGCTCAGATCCCAGATTTTCAATATACCATCACTCTTAGTGCATGGACCAGTCCCTGTAAAGCTGCTGTGTCCATCTGGTCCATGATGCCAGGCTCCATCTCTTGTAACAGCCTTCCAGAGCAGGAGAGACTGTGTGCAGTGTTCACACTCATGAATAACCTGGGCAGTAGTGTCCATTGCTAAGTTCACTCCTCGATCATGAGTCCATCTCTATGTTGCATCTCTGCTCTGATGGCCTGAAGTGCCATGGGCCCACCGGGCTCAAAATAATTCACTGTCCCCTTCAGCAGTTTCTGCAGCTTGCTGCTGGGGACTCCATACAGCTGCCTTCAATCTCTGACACTTCCAAAGCACTGGAGGGCCCCAGTGGACTAGATACTTGCCCATACTGTCCCACACACCCTGCCACTCATGACTGTCCAGCCTTGGAGAAAACCTCTTGGTCCCCCTGCATCGTCATCTAACCCCAGACAAGACCCAAACCGGACTCTGCTTAACCGTTGATCAGACAAAATGGTGGTGGGTAAAACACACTCTGTGTGTGTGCCAACATGCTGATCCCCATCACAATCAGCAGGCAGGTCCCAAGGAGACCCAAAGGCCATTCAAAACCTTCAGAACTCTCGAACGATGTTGCAGTACTTGTCACTGGGGCTGGTGTAGCTGCTGTGCTTGCCGGCTCTCCCACCACCAGCTTCTCTTTTTCTGAGTCCAGCTCTTCCTCCTCTGCCTTGCTGGGAAATGCTGCGTGGTCTCCTGCATCCTCCTGGGGCTCGGCGGGCGGCTGCCGGGGAATGCTCTCGGCCGTCGCGGGGCTCGGCTCCTCCTCCTTCCGCTCCTCGGCAGCCGCCTCCTTCCGCTCCTCGACCGCCCCGACCTCCTCCACCGGCAGCAGTCCCCTCGCGGCCTCCGGTCCCGCTCCCGCCGCCGCTTGGTCCGCGGGGCCGCTCTCCCGGGCCGCTTCTGCAGCCGCCGGCTCACGGGGCCGCTCCTCCTCGGCTCCCCGCAGCCTCACGAAGACGGAGGCGAGGGCGAGGGCCAGGACGGTGAAGAGCAGCCGGACGGCCAGGTACAAGTCCACGGCCACGTCCGTCCCGCCCTGCTGCTGGTGGTCAAAACACTGCACTGCACCAGCTACCAAGAGGGAGGAAAATGACTGCTGCCGCTGAACCCAGGACATGGTTACATCTAAAAAGTTCTCACCGATGAGATGTGTTCTCCAGAGATGAAAGACTTCCTCCAGTCTTATTATTAGAGGAAAAAGGAATTCTGTTGTCAGACTGTTGTTTAACATGTCTCACTGGGGTGTTCATTTTCACTGATTTTAGGTAGAGGAAAAAGCTGTGCTTACCAACAGTTTTCTTGCTCTTTTAGTAGACTTCGAGGCAGAACCTTCATTCATCCATATAGGTGTGATGAAAAAGTACCAGGAGAACACTGCTTAGGGCTCCCTTTGCTGTTTTTTCCTCTTTTAAGGTGGCTTGTGAACGCTCTGTCAGAGTGAAGGGGATTATTTTTAGATTCACTGCAAATAAATCCAGATCTGTTTCCCAGAGGTTGACTTCTAACAACGTAATTTCAAGCATAGGAGTATTCCAGTTTTGATCTTTCCACTCTACCTCATACATCAAAGTGGCTAAGCCCACCTTCAGCTAAAACATATGTGACTGATTATCAGTGACCTTTTTGTTTGGTTGGTTTTTCAGTCAGTTTATTTTTCTTTAGTGTTTCTTCCTTACATGCATGCCATATAATAACTGCAGTCTTTGAAGATTATGAGCAACACTGCTGATTTAGAAATTAAAGTGTGCACAAAACCAAGTTTATTCTACTGTAACATAATGGTTAATGCTTCTTTTAAACCAATACATTATTTTTTATTGTATTATTATATATTATAATTGTAATATTTTATTATATCTTTTCACAACCAATACATTATTATTACCATCTGTCTTGAAACCTTTCTGGACTTACCATTTAAATATAAGTGGAATTTTGCTCTTGAAGATTTTAGAGCATAAATTTAGGAAACTAGTTCATATGCCTGATTTCCCATAGAAAATTTAATCCACGTCTGTATGTGTCTCATAAAATACAAACAAACAAAACGAACAAACCAAACAACAACAAAGAAAACCAACCCAGAAAACCATCAAATAAAAGAAACTTTAGTACACCCTGATGTTATATTTATTCTAAAATGAATGTTTCTGTCTGCAAGAATGCCAGGTGTATAAGACAACGCAACTGGAGACTGTCTAAGCACAGCAACAAATGGACATGATAGACCTTAGTCTTGGAAAGAGCTATTATGTCCTTTCAGGTTAATGATCCATGGGCTAAGGGGGATTTACATTAATTGCTACAACTGAATGAGTCAAAATAAACTCTTAAAAACCCTAAATACATACACTGGAGCTACTATGACAGACCAGTTCAATAATGCAAGTAATGCATGGACTCATACTGTCACACCCTATCATGGAAGTCTACGGATCATCCTTATTTTAGAAAAACATAAGCTCTGTTGCATTAAGATGAGGTGATTGGTATTATTTTATTTTCACTGCATCTTGCTACTAAGTTCTACTTGACTCTGGTCAAGCAGGTCAAGGGAAATGATTCTTCCCCTCTTGTGAGACCCCACCTGCAGTACTGCACCCAGCTCTGGGGCCCCCAACACGAAAGGGATGTGGATCTTGGTGGAGGGCATCCAGAAGTGGGCCATGAAGATGGTCAGAGGGCTGAAGCTCCTCTTGTATGAGCACAGACTGAGAATGTTGGGGTTTTTCAGCGTGGAGAAGATAAGATTCTGGGGAGACTTTTAGAGCAGTTTCCAGTGCCTGAGAGGGGCCTAAAGAAACCTGGAGAAGCACTTCTAACATGTAGTGATAGGACAAGGGGGAATGGCTTTAAACTGAAAGGGGGTCAATATAGATCAGACATTAGGAAGAAATTCCTACTATGGGAGTGGTAAGACACAAACAGGCTGACCAGAGAAGTTGTGGCTGCCCCATCCCTGGCATTGTTCAAGGCCAGGTTGGACAGGGCTTTGAGCAATCTAATCTAGTGGAAGGTAATCCTGCATGTGGTAGAGGGGTTCAAACTAATTTATCTTTAAGGTCCCTTCCAACCCAAAACATTCCATGATTCTGAATATGGCATTTATTAGGAAGATGCCCCAATCCTGAGAGCAGTGGTTTAATGTAGTTTTTAGTTAAAGCCTTTGAAATACATATATTACATTTGCTTGTTTGTTACTTCCTGTGCCTTAATACAGTTCCAAGATGTTGAGTTGGTTAAAGTGAGTCACGCTGGACAACTGCTCTTGAACTGTTTTGAAAGGCTAAGTATTTACTTGAACTACAACTACCTTCTTTCTTCTTACAGACTCTTACAACCTTTGAATATGCAGTGTGTCAAGGTGTAACCCAGTTTTGCATTTTCTTGCTTTTGTTGCATGATATCCTAGGTCTTTATGTGTTTCAGCGATGAAAAAGACCTGTGAGTTAAGAATATGAAGTTTAATCAACTGTATAATATTGATTAAGGGTGGGAATGTGATATGATAAGCAACAAGTTATGAACAGCAGAAACTGCAGTTGCAAAAGTCGTGTTCCTGTCTCAGATCCCTGCGTATTTGCTTGCCTTAGTGAGCTCTTGTCCTTTCTGATTAGCTTAATAATTGGTTGACTGGATCCTGCCCTTGACCATAGCTGGGGGTGCTCCGAGTCAGTATTCAGCAGCACTGTAACTTGGTACAACATGTTCATGCGATTCCAGTCGTTGCAGCTTGGATGTGAAGTACTGGCAGGCATTCTGCTGGAATTCGATCTGAGAAATAAGAGACTAATGCAGCTCTAGTGTATATTGAAGTATATTATTTATATTATTCCTTCTATGTATTTACTTTCTAATAAATAGCTTCCTTCCATGCAACAGCTAAAGCTAAATTGGAGTTCTGTTGTTTGTAGTCTTTATTGAGACAATCTTATGGTTCAGATTTCTGTAAGGCAAAATATGAAAATTTACGATAAAAAACAAAAAAATCAGTGGGTTGGGTGGTCTTTTACCTTGTTGGGGTTTTGTTCTGTATAAACACTGAAGTCTTTTTGTGTTTAAGTTTTTCTGAAAAATAATTTTGCTTTGTTTTTTGGAGTGTGTTGTCTTTTTTTTTTTTTTTTTAAATTTTTTTTTCACCCTCCTTGGTTCTGTTGCATATGAAGATTATTCCAGGGAAAAGGAACAGGACTTAAGCTTGTATAACTTCTGCTGATGTTTTTTGGTTGTTTTTTTTTATTGGTTTGGTTTGGTTTGTTTTGTTTTGTTTTGTTTTGTTTTGTTTTTGTTCTTATAGCAGCTCCCAAAAGACAATTCTGTAAAGCTTTATCAAATTAGCAAGATCTTTGATTTATGTAATTTTTTAAGTATTAAAAATTATTTGCAACCTGATATGATAAAAGTCCAGTTCATTCATTCTAGCCCCCAAACTTGTAAGCAGCTAGCACTCAGGAGTTTTGCTGTATGGATAGTATCCTGTAAAGTCTAATAGTTAACAAAAAAAAAAATAGAAATAAGACTTTGGCTTCAATTTTGTAGAAGTCAGGTTTGAAATACAGATCTGGAATAAATGCCTGTGTCTTAAAACAAACACATCCTCCACCCCTGAAAAAAAAACAAACCACGTCACCACAATAAGTAACCCACTCTAATAATGTATATTATTGCATTACTAAAATATTGCCTTTTTTTGTTTTGTTTTTTTTAGATGATTGCAAAGGGAAAAAATGCTTCTGAGCTCTTTCCTGCTGTTGTGAAGAATGTTGCCAGTAAAAATATTGAGGTACAAGTCGTATATTCCTACAACTTATTAAGCATACTGTTATGGGAAATCTGCTTATGAAAATTTTATCTAATTGTAAATACCTGACTTCAACGTAAAAAATAATAGAGATGTTATAGTTTATGGTACAATTTCTCAGGGTTCAATTTCAGTCACAGCATTAGTTTAACATGTAAATAAAGGATGGGTGATTTGGAGGGAGGAATTACAACTAAGTACTTTTTAAAAATTGATTGCTTAGAGAAAGTTTGTTCAAGCAAGTGGTGGTAATTCTGAGAAAAAGTATTACAGTTTATTTGAGGGGTGGTGCTGCTTGCGAAGTTTGAGTAAAGCCTGTGCTATGCTGTATTTGAAAACCTATCTTGCACATCAAGGCTGAGAGGTAAGAGCTGGGTAAAAAGTTTTAGCTTTTCTATGTAGTGTATTTATAAAAGGAGTGTATCAGCATTAGGATTGCTGAGTGAGAGCACTTTAACTCAGCTAAACTTGTCTTTATGAATTTGTGGTTAGGCAAAATGTGATGTTACTAATGAAATGTGTTGGTTCTTTTGATAATTTAGTTCAGATAATTTGTTTAATGTTTCACTAATGTGAATGCATGCAAGTCCAGAAGATTACAAAAAAAGATTTCAAGTCTAGGAAGCTTGGAGAGATATGACTATCTGGGATGGGGGAGTAGGTCCCATCTTGAGCAGAGAACAAATTTTTTGCTAATATGCAGTGTAATCTCAAATCTTATGTTAATTTATGTTTTGCACGACATAGACACTTAAGCGAAGTCTTGTTTTACGTAAATGCGTTTCTTTTGTATGAGAATTATGGGAGGAGTATAAAAAGGGCAAGCAAGAAGAATTTAAACTTCCTATGAAAGTGGCTGATGAAGAACTTGTGTCAGAATTATCTGCTACAGAAGCTAATTTCTTGAGGAGTTGCTTGAGTAAATTTACTCAACTTGTACTAAATTGTGTGATGCTAAAAGAAAATGTATTTAATAATTTTCAGGATTTCCATATATACAAACAATAGCAGAAATACTACATTTTTCTTTCATCCTGTTTACCATCCATTTTATTTTAGCAGTTTGGTTTTGCTGCAATGCGTGGTGTTAGACACAGAAAGTAGCTTGCTTATGTATTTTTTGTCCTTTTTTCCTCATAAGAAAGCAAGAAAAAGAATCTGTCCTGTACTGGTGAAAATTCAGTTTCAGTGAAGTTAAAAAAAATGGAGATTGTGGTCAACTATGACGTGTTTAAGTCCACAGGCTTACTATGTGGGTCAAGGGTATCTAAAGTAGCATCTGTGTTAGAAAGTTGTACAACCATAAGTTTTATAAAGAAAATGTTACTCTGATGCTCACTACCAGTATTGTGTATACACTGTCAGCTCCAGTGCAGTGGTGTCAGTTACAGTTGACTTGACAAATGAGATTTGGATGGAAATAACGTCTAAGTTTGTAGTTTCAAACCGTGTAGTGACTAACAAGCATCAGTTTGAGGAAAGCGGAACAAGCATGTAATGATATTAGTTACTTCCTGCTGCACAGGATCGTAACTTTGGAAAAATGCAAAAAACAGGGGTTTGAAGCATTGGGTTTTAAGAAAAGAAGTCAATGGAATGCATGCTCCAGTTCTTCCTTTTTCTCCTGGAAATATGTACTTCAGTCTCTGTTATTAATGGGAATGAAAAGTTGCTTTTTCATGGTTTGTGACACTGAAAATTATATTTCCTGCAATAATAACTTAAGCAAACTTCTGTCTCTCTCTAATGTGCTGCAATATAGCAGATCATAGATATGTCTGTTTTCCCTCCTATTTGACACAGATGGATAGTGAAAGTCAGATTTGAGTCTAATTTTAGTGTTAAAGAAGTTATTTAGCTGCTGCTTTAAAACTTTGCATTCTTTCAAAGAATGGAAAAAATGTATTTTTCTGTGGCCGGATATTGAGCTCTGGTAAGTCAAGGAGGCTTAAATGTGCAAAGAAGTACTCTGAGTCAAGTTTTAAACAGAGAAACCTTACACTAAGGAGGAGTACTTTGAACAATATTACTCATCTTGAATGTTTTTAACTGTTAGTGCTTGAACAGCTCCAGTAGTGAGACTAGGAGTGTCTTCCTGATAGGTGTTCACACTCACATTTTGTGTGTATATACACACAAGAAATACACATGTAGAGAGACAGCCACATAAATTGATAGAGGGTACTGACATGAACACAAACAGTACCAGCATTTTGTCTGTTCAAGGTAAAGGTCTGCTAGTGGGAAAATATGTATACATACATATGTACAATGTGGATTCATGCAACAGCTCATATATGGTCTGCCCAGTAGCTGGCCCATGGATCTCAGTCTCCCTCTTTGCTGGCACGTGGAATATGAGCCCGTAAGGCTGCAGTCCTATTTCAGTTGCTGGTACAAACTGGTGTACACATAATGAACACATGTGATCCAGTACTCACTTGGTTCCCCAGTAGCTACCCTGTCATGGTCTTGCCATTAGGCGCACTGGTGTGTGCACGACTGTGCATACACAGCTGCACCTGGGCAGAACATTCAGGGTCCTCTGCTAGCCAACCCACTATGGTTATGCCCTTAGAGAGATGCACACAAACACATGATTCTTGCCTCTAGAGACAGGCCATCTAGTTTCTTGGGCAGCTGATGGCATTGCCCTGGTCTATGCTGTAGTAGTCCTACAGTCTTGCCCCTAGATGTCCCCACCTTTACCCGTCTCCTTCCCAGACCACTTCAACTGCTTGCCAGCTAGTGCAGCTTGACCCACTGGTACATCTGCAACCATTCCAGTTACTGGCACGACAGGCACATGGTCTCAGGTTGCTTGCATGTATGCTCATGGGCCGCCTGCTCCTGGCCTGTGACAGCCAGACCTTCACTTGTTCCAGGTGCTGGCCACAGTGGACTTAAGGACCCTTATGACTGGAGGTCCCATTGCAATTGCTAGAGTCACACTTAAGTCTCCTCTCTTTATCTGTGTCCCATACAAGTATGCAGAAAAGCCCCTCAGCATGAAAGGTGCTCTGGTGTTGACTCTTGATGTTTTTAACACCTCAGCATGGGAGCTGAGGAGATCCTGAGAGGGGCCTGACAGGATGTCCTTTCCTCTGAGACTTAGTTTCTACTACAGCTGTGTTTCTCTGCACCTCTGGACTGATGGTTCCTGCTGTGGGCTTGGGGGAAACTAAGGCAGGGTGTTAACTGCAAACACCCCTCCACTCTCCTTGTGTCTCTGTGCTTCTTTGTGGGTGTGCAGACAGGGTTTCATCACATAATGTCGTGGTTTAAACCCTAGCCAGACAGCTTGTTCACTCACTCACTCCCAGTGAGTGGTGCCAGGCTGACAACAATCGAGGCCCGCCCCCCCCCCCCCCCCCCCAAGGCTCTCCCCTTCCCCACTCCCGGAGGAACGGGGAGGAGGATCGAAAGGGTTCAACTCCCACGGGTTGAGACACCAGTGTACAACACAAATCACCACCGCTACTATCAACTACAACAATGATAAGGGAAAATAACAAGGGAAGAGAATACGATACCACCGGCCAAGAAACGAGTCCCACCCGGAAGCCTGTGTCCTTCCAGGTAACTCCCAGTTACCCCCCACCCCGGGCATGATGTGCTGTGGTATGGAATACCTCCTTGGCTAGCCTGGGTCAGGCACCCCATCTCTGCTTCCTCACAGCTTCCCCTCCTCCCTGGCAGAGCATGAGCCTCACAAAGTCCTTGGTCAGGGTAAACATCACTTAGCAACAACCGAAAACATCGGCTTCACCAACACTGTTCCCCAGCTGGAAGTCAAAACACAGCACTGCACCAGCTACCACAAAGGAGAAACATGACTGCTACTGCTGAACCCAGGACACATAACCTAACGTTAATCAGCAGAAGCCTTTCACTGGTTATATTTTATGGGCATTTTCTTACATTTTAAAACCAATATATGTGAATTCACACATCTTCCTCTATGCTGTACTTTATTTCCTTGTTACTTTTTTCCCCACTGTTTAGTGCTAGCATATTGGTGTGTTAAACTGAAAAGAGAACAGGGTGTGCCGTAAAGCCAGCTGACTAATTTATCAAGGTTAGTTGATAAGTTTAGGTCATAATGTACCTGTATAGCCATCTATTTAGCACTTCAGGGTCTCAGAAACCTTTGTCATGGTCCAGTTACTAGGATGCTCTTGAAATGATGACAACTTAGTGGATTAAGTCAGATTCTTAGTGCACTGATCCTGACACTGTTTTCTGAAAATGTTTTGCTGAACCTCCTTAAGAACATTTTCACAAATCTGTCTGTACAAGTTGCTACAATGCACAAGCATAAAATACTTAAGTTCATCTGGGTGACTTTGTATCTAATTGTCTTTCCTTCCCAGAAATGGCTTCTGTTTGGTTTTGTTGTTTTGGTTTTGACCCTTTCTTTTCTTGTGTGTGTGTGTGTGTGGTTTTGGTTGGGTTTGTGGGGTTTAGGGTATTTTATTATTTTTTTTTTTTAAATCAAGACTGAATGCTCTGATACAGGAAAATGGAGGTGAAGATGCAGTAGAACACGTTTGTTTGTTTTGAGGGAAGCAAAGGGCATCTTATTGTCTACAGAAGTACCTTGTGATTTTTTGTTTTTATAAGTACACACTGACCTCAGCTTGATTATGTGCATCATGTCATGGATGGTAAGGATACAAAAAGTGACCTAATAAACAATTGGTGGTATAGAACAAAAATAAGTCTTGGTCAATAACTCATGGAGTTTGATGTGCTTATATTGATAAACTAATTAAACAAATCTGCCTCTGTTCCTCAGTCCTAATGTGCCCCTGTTATGATTAATTTTATAGAACGGAGCATTTTAACATTGAGTGAAGGTAAATGGTAAAAGAGTAGTGTAGTCACGAAGCTCTAAGTGCTTCCATTTCTAGTCACAGAGTGGTTTCAAGGAAAGGAGGCTTTCTTTGCACACCTGCAGTCATTCAGTGCGTAGGCCTCTTGTGGTCAGTGTTGATTGCTGCTTGTCTATAGCTGAACAACAAATAATTTAGTATGGTGTAACCTTCTGTGATTTAATATTATGCTTTTTGCCAGAATTGGCACAAAGATACATCTTCTGATGGTGACAGTAATTATAGCACAGCTGTAGTTGAGGGTATTTCAGAATTTTCCATTATAGACCCCAATAGTTGGTTTGCAACTCAAAGGTAAAAAATGTTTTCACTGCTTCCTGGGCATACAGTAACCATGAGGGGGTAAAGTGAAGTAAATTGAATACCCTCCTCCCCCAAAATCTTACTGAGGCTTTCTTAATCTTTGAACATCACATCCTTTGTAGTATGCGTATATTGGCTGTATCTTTTGAATGCTTGTAGTCAGGCAAAGCTGGATCTAATATCTTTTGCTTTTGTCTGAGGTGTAGTCAGAAGTGCTCTTTTAATCAGATGTAAATAGTGTAAGTTACCACACTTCAGCTGGAAGTTAAATTCTCTTTCAAATATATTAAAGTAACCGATTTTGAGTTTCAGGGTGAAAAAATTGGGCTTGTTGAAATCCTTGGCTATTGCAGTTTAACCTGTCTTTCGTAAGAAAAAATCCCTGAGGAATGCTCAGGTGCCAGTTGCCACTTGTCAGTTTCTTAAATTATTCAAGTCTTTATTTACTAGTTGATAATATAAAGCAGTACTTTGTGTTATTAGCCTTCATCTGTTTGTATCATTAATTAGGTAATATTACAGCACTTGGGGGAGTTTCTGTTCAAAGGATTACAGAGAATCTTAAGACATATGAGAAGTATGTGAGTACTCCAGTGATATGTTAAATCTCCTTCAAAGAAGAAAATGTTGGTGAAAATGTGTAATCTAGGACTTAGTTTTATAGAATTCTACAACTTTCTGATAATCACTGTGTTTTTCTTTTCAGATAAAAAAGCTTGTATATGTTTATCTGATGCGTTATGCAGAGGAACAGCAAGATCTAGCATTATTGTCCATCAGTACTTTCCAGCGTGCTTTAAAAGTGAGTGGCTACCAAACAACATTTCATAGAGAATTCTGAGCTGGTATCACAAAAATAAGTACATCTGTGCAAGTGTAGTATGGTAAACTAAAGCATGTAAATACCTGCATCTGATAAAGTACTTTTAAGATACATCATTGATGAAGTTTTTTGTGTTGTCTGAAACCTTGTCAAACCTGCACAAAGGAAAATTAATTCACTACAGAAAAGCAGCAAGTTGGTGTTCTCAAATTCATGTACCCATTTAATTTCTGGAATGCCTTCTTTACTAGGTAGCATATGTACGTAGAAAGAAGACCCTGTTGTTACCCTGAACCATTTGTGTTTCTTTTAGCATTTTGTGTTGCTTCTCTCAAATTCAGATCACAATGGGAAATGCGATTAGAAAATGAAGATTAGGATTACCTTTGAAGTTAGACCATGGAGAAAATACTTATTAAGTCTCTGTCCTTAAACTTGGCCGATTTTCATTATAAGAGAGGGTTGGGGATTTTTTTTTTTCTTGTTCTCTTCTTGTAAGGCTACTGTAAGGTTCATAATGAATTTCTGTCATGTTGCAGACCCAGACCTTGGGTCTTGTTGGAAAATGCTGCAGTTGGAGCACTAGGTGTGCCAGCTGTAGAAGCATCCCACAGCTGACTAGAGAGCTTTTCACCCTTTCCAGCTTTTTTTACAGTGTCATGTATACTACCTTTACTCTCTGTGACTGTCATGAAAAACTAAAATTCAAGTGACTTTGTATCATATGTTTTTCGTGAGATACATATACAGTGAAAACTTCTCATGGCTTAACTTTTTAAAGAGCTGTGGATAGTGGGAAAAATGGATAGGGGATAGGTCAAATGTTGTGGCTGAGTAACTCAGAAAGAAGTGGTGGTGTGGCAAGGAGGTAGACCCCAAGCTATCTGAGAGTTTTGGTGACTAAGGAAATTACTATGCCTGCTGTGAAAGATAGCCAGGTGTAATTAGTTCTCTTCATTAATTTTTTTTTTTTTGAAACAACTTGTTTCTGGGTTTGTAATGAAGAATGTAGTGCAGCTCTATGTATGGCAATTTTTTTCCCTATTTAGAAAATTTAGGATATTTTGAACTTGTATGACAGGAGATGAGCTTTGCAGACTCTGGTAGAAACAAGTTATTTTTCCAGAATTGTCAAAGTGCTTTTTTTACCATCAAGATACTACTCAGAAGCTGCTAATATGCAGGAATTTTGGGAACTTATATGAACTAATACTAATTACTAGAATATAAGAAATGTTCTCTGGGAAGTGCCCTTTTGGCAGACAGTACACTGAATTAGTGCTGCTGCAATTTTGGTTTGCTAGATTTTAGAGGATTTGGTACTTGATGAAGCAACATTTTTTCTCTGTGCCCCAAGCCCATGATTAACAGACAAGATTTACATTATAGTTCATCCAAATACAGATTTCTGTGCTGTTACTGGATTTTGAAGCTAACCCTAGCATTTTATAAAGGGAGCAAGTATTGAGATGAAAGAAGGAAGAGTAGGAAGTAGAAGTCTCAAAACATTTAGCTTAAAATTGATTTTCTTACTGGCTTCAATTTATTTCCTGCAGTAAAATATAAAATGGACATGTTGTCAAGAACGTCAACAGGAGTGTTGCAACAGAATCACGTTTTCATTGGGCAATTCTTACATTTAAGTAATAAAACAGAGCTAGTTGTATTTTCCAAAGAATCTGATCACCAAATAAGATATTAGTACTTTTTTATTCCCATATTGTGCATATTGGAAAGTGAATGTTAATATTTTCCTTTGCCAGGTTTCCAAATTTTCATAGTGTTTCACTGTTTTCTTTCTTAATTTCTTTTACTTTTTTGGGTTATTGGAAGTTTCTCATGTGAAATTTTTCACATTTTACTAGTATTATATTTTGCTTGTAAGTCTGATTGGTAGATAGGTTTACATGCTTTCAAATGCAGTCACTAATTAGTGTAAGCACTGCAGAGAATTTAATGATGCATTTCTGCACCATCTTATTTCCCTCCTCTTCCATTCTTTAGGATCCTAATCAGTTAATCCGTGCAAGTGCTTTGAGAGTTTTATCCAGTATCCGTGTCCCAATTATTGTTCCTATTATGATGCTTGCTATTAAGGAAGCCTCTTCTGATTTGTCTCCTTATGTGAGAAAGAATGCAGCCCATGCAATCCAGAAGCTGTACAGGTAAGTGGTTCTGACAAATAGCGGAAAGCAATTTTAAGATAGTTGTGGGCTATGTTTATTAAGACATAAGTTGAGGTTGGCATGTCTCAGCTATATCAGATCTTATAAAGTGTCTGTAGACATTCTGTTGCTCAGTTTGGTTGGAATCCAGGCAAGTGTCCTGCTAGAATAACAGGATAACTTTGAAAAGATTAAAAAAGAAACTGATGCACCATCTTTTGGTTTTAATATGACAATTATCGTCATCTGTATAGCAACAATTTTGATAGGTATACTCAGAATCAAAGATTTCTGTGTTTAGTGTCTGTATTTTTCATCCTGATGTCATTTGCTTGTCAGTTGCAGCACAGGTGACAAATCATAGAATCATAGAATGGTTAGGGTTGGAAAGGACCTTAAGATAATCAAGTTCCAGCCCCCATGCCTTGAGCAGGGACACCTTCCACTAGACCAGGATGCTCAAAGTGCCATCCAGCCTGGCCTTGAACACTTCTCAGGATGGGGCATCCACAGCTTCTCTAGGGAACCTGTTCCACTGTCTCAGCTCCCTCATGGTGAAGAATTTCTTTCTGCTATCTAGTCTAAATCTACCCTCTCTCAGCTTAGTTTTCAAACTGTTGTAGCTGCAAATTCCATCTTACCTGGACTACAGTAAGGTTCATAGTTACTTATGAGTGAAGTTGTAACCAGCAATAGTGTCCTTGGTGGTAGGATTTTGGAACTACTTCTAGAAAGCTTGTGAACTTTTATTGTCGTATTTTCAAAATTTACTTGTACAAATGCCGTATCTGATAGCATTGGTTTACTACAGGACCGAGAGAGAGAGAGAGAGTATAGCTTTTTGCATCACTTGAGGAAGCAGCAGTACTGGGAACTAGTGAAGAGGCTGTCAAATTAAAACCTGTCCACAGGAAGGTCCAGTAGGCTTCCCTGCAAACAAGTCTTTAATAGACAGTTTTAGCAGATGTTTCAATAAGGCTCATGGCTGGCATCTCCACAGTTCAGTGATAGAGATTGTATACTGGTGGCAAGGCTGTCTTTTGGCTTCTTGTAATAAGCAAGCAATTTCTAGAGAGACTGAGGTTAGTCAAAATCAGAATTCCGGAGGGGATGAATTTTTGGTGTGAAGATCATATAGTCTCCTACATCTTAACTAATCCATGTTCTGCAAGCATTTGAGTAAGAAGTGACAGTTTAATAGTGCCTGTATGCTCCACTTATTTTTTGATTTCCATGACTTCTCTACCGGTTTGATAGTCCTGTAGTTCAATTAGTGGTCCATTCAGACTTCTGGATGCAAGTTTGATACTCCAGTCTTCGTTGCATTTAGTGTCATGGTGTTTGGATGGATGTTTGACCTGGAAGAGCTTGTTCATTCGTGGTTCAATCAATCTTAATAGCAGGAAGCTTACATATCAAACAGAAAAGATTTCAGGCATAGTGTGAACAGCAACATTTATGCTCAATGCAGTCAACATTCCCAGGTACTTTGGAGTAATTTTAGCATTGAAAATGCCAGACTTCTTGCTTATTTCACTTAGAGAGCATTTCAAAGCTATTAGTATCTTCTGTCTATCAATAGAAAACTCTACCTGCACCTGCTTGCAGTGAGATTTTGAAAAGGACTTTTAAAAAAGCCCCATCACTAGTATTAATATTCCATACTGTTATTACTAGATTCCATAATGGGAGCAGATCACTCAGCTCTTTAGCCTGTTCTTTTATTTTCACTCCAATAATGCTTCCTTTGTTGTCTAAGACATGTAAATCCTAACATTTTAATGAGTTTTAAGTATTACAATTCTTAGAGAACCCACAACTGGTATGACATAAAGACAAACTATAATTTAATTTTATACTCCTTCAATGCTGTTCTGCATTCTGTGTTTAACTTTATTTTCAGTCAAGTTCATTTATATTCAGTTCTTGGAATCCTTGATTTTTCTGGAAGTGGTTTCTTCAATGCTCTTGGTTCCCAGGTTGCGTCTGAAGGTCAACAAACATAACCTGTTTTAATTTTGGATATGTCTCACCAAATGAGTAAAAAAAAAAAATTCTTATTTTTCCTTCTAGTCTTGATCCAGAACAAAAAGAAATGTTAATTGAAGTGATAGAAAAGCTCTTGAAGGATAAAAGTACGGTAAGAACCAGTACGCTATTGCATATGCATGTACTTTAAAGAGTTTACTCCGGAGGCTGTCATTCAGCAGTACATACTGCACTTTCCTAATGCTGAGGTGGTTTTGTATGATTTTAATTAGAAGTATCATTGCGTAATTATGCATTATACTATGACTGTGACAGTGACCGTCTCCTTTAATAAGGCTGATAATTTTACTTGTGTCATGGGTATTAATATGTTCTTGTTAGCAAGTTTTTTCATATATACTTCTTTAAACTCAATTTTGAAAATGAACGTTACGTGATGATATGAATTCGTGTCTGTCTAAATTTTCATTCCCACTTTCCCATTGGAAAATTGGCTAGATCATTTCAATTTGTGATACTGTAAGAATAAATGACTTATGTACGGCGCACAGTATGCCTGTTGATGTCAATCTGCTCTGTAGTGTGTACAGCTGTTAAGCAGTGGTACTTCTGTGTGCTTGTTTGTTCTTGCAAATATCCCTACTTCCAATCTGATAAGCAAAACTGATGTCTTTGATCAACTTCGGTATATTGAACACTCCTGTTATATTTTGCCTGCGCTATGTAGATACAGGGTTTTCGCATGAACTCTTGGAGGTCTCGTGATGCTCATAAACTGTATTTCTATTCCTGCATCATATGAGTAAGTTTCCTGAATCTAAGTCAGAAAGGCAAAGAGCAAGGAATCTAAGATACTCGAGATAGAAAATAGAGTTGTAAATGAAAACATTCGCTCGTTCAAATTACTAATTTAGAGTCACAGAATCATAGAATAGTTAGGGTTGGAAAGGATCTTAAGATCATCTAGTTCCAGCCACACTGCCATGGGCAGGGACACCTCACACTAAAACATGTCCCCCAAGGCTTCATCCAGCCTGGCCTTGAACACCAGCAGGTATGGAGCATTCGCAACCTCTCTGGGCAACCCATTCCAGTGCCTCACCACCCTAAAAGGAAAGAACTTCTTCCTTATATACAGTCTGAACTTCCCCTGTTTAAGTTTTAACTCGTTACCCCTTGTCCTGTCACTACAGTCCCTAATGAAGAGTCCCTCCCCAGCATTCCCTCTAGGCCCCCTTCAGATACTGGAAGGCTGCTATGAGGTCTCCAGGCAGCTTTCTCTTCTCCAGGCTGAACAGCCCCACTTTCTCAGCCTGTCTTCATACAGGAGGTGCTCCAGTCCCCTGATCATCCTCGTGTCCATCCTCTAGACTTGTTCCAACAGTTCCATGTCCTTTTTATGTTGAGGACACCAGAACTGCACACAATACTCCAGGTGAGGTCTCACGAGAGCAGAGTAGAGGGGCAGGATCACCTCCCTCGACCTGCTGGTCACGCTCCTTTTGAGGCAGCCCAGGATACGGTTGGCTTTCTGGGCTGCAAGCACACACTGCAGCCAGCTCATGTTCATTTTCTCATCGACCAACACCCCCAAGTCCTTCTCTGCAGGGCTGCTCTGAATCTCTTCTCTGCCCAACCTGTAGCTGTGCCTGGGATTGCCCCAACCCAGGTGTAGGACCTTGCACTTGTCATGGTTAAACTTCATGAGGTTGGCATCAGCCCACCTCACAAGCATGTCAAGGTCCCTCTGGATGGCATTCCTTCCCTCCAGGGTATCAACTGAACCACACAGCTTGGTGTCGTTGGCAAACTTGCTGAGGGCGCACTCAATCCCTCTGTCCATGTCACCGACAAAGATGTTGAACAAGACCGGTCCCAACACCAATCCCTGAGGGACACCACTTGCTACTGGTCTCCAGCTGGACATTGAGCCATTGACCACAACTCTTCGCATGTCGCCATCCAGCCAATTCTTTATCCGCCAAGTGGTCCACCTATCAAATTGATGTCTCTCCAATTTAGAGACAAGAATGTTATGTGGGAAAGTGTCGAACGCTTTGCACAAGTCCATGTAGGTGACATCAACTGCTCTACCCCTGTCCATCAGTTCCGTAGCCCCATCAGAGAAGGCCACCAAATTGGTCAGGCAGGATTTCCCCTTAGTGAAGCCATGCTGGCTGTCACCAAGCACCTTGTTGATTTTCATGTGCCTTAGCATGCCTTCCAGGAGAATCTGCTCCAAGATTTTGCCAGGCACAGAGGTGAGACTTACTGGTCTGTAGTTTCCTGTGTCATCCATTTTCTCCTTCTTGAAAATGGGGGCTATATTTCTTTTTTTCCAGTCATCAGGAATTTCACCTGACTGCCATGATTTTTCAAATATGATAGACAGTGGCTTAGCAACTAAGTTTAATTTTAACTGGGCCTTAGCTTTCCTAACCTGGTCCCTAGCTTCCCAGACAACATCCCAGTATTCTTCCCAGGCTGCCTGTCCTTGCTTCCACCTCTTTTTTCCTTTGAATTTTCTCAGCAGCTCCTTATCCATCCAAGGACGTCTCCTGGCCCTCCTGCTGCATGTTGGGATGCAACACTCCAGAGCTTGTAGCAGGTGATCCTTGAATATCAAGCAACAGTCTTGGGCCCCCCTGCCCTCTAGGGCTGTATCCCATGGAACCTTATTAAGCAGGTTCCTGAAGAGGCCAAAGTCTGCTCTCTTGAAGTCCAGGGCAGTGAGCTTGCTGTACACTCTTCTCACTGTCCTGAAGTTCTTGAATTCGACCATCTCATGATCACTGCAACCAAGGCTGCCCTGGAGCGTCACATTTCCAACCAGCCCTTCTCTGTTGGTGAGCACGAGGTCAAGCATGGCATCTCTCCTTGTCAGCTCCTCTATTACTTGCAGAAGGAAGTTGTCTTCTACACAATCGAGGTACCGTCCTTCCAACAGATGTCAGGGTGGCTGAAGTCCCCCATGAGAACAAGGGCCTGTGAACATGAGGCTTTTCCTGTCTGTCTATAGAGTGCTTCATCCACAGAGTCCTCTTGATCAGGCGGTCTGTAACAGATCCCCACACTAATGTCTCCCAAAGCTGTTCTCCCTTTAACCCTGACCCACAAACTCTCTGTGGACTGCTCACCTGTCCCCAGAGAGAGTTCCATACTCTCCAGCCTATCCCTAACATAAAGGGCAACTCCCCCTCCCTGTTTGCCAGGCCTGTCCTTCCTAAAGAGCCTGTAACCTTCCATTCCAACACTCCAGTCATAGGAGCCATCCCACCATGTTTCTGTGATGCTGTCCTGGGTTCAGCAGTAGCAGTCATTTTTTCTCCTTCTTGGTAGCTAGTGTAGTGCAGTGTTTTGACTTTCAGCTCGGGAACAGAGCTGATAACAAGGATGTTTTGGTTTGGCCAAGGACTTTGTGAGCCTCATGCTCTGCCAGGGAGGAGGGGAAGCCAGGAGGAAGCAGAGACAGGACACCTGACCCAAACTGACCAAAGAGGTATTCCATACCACAGCACGTCATGCCCAGGATGTAACTGAGAGTGAGACGGAAGGGCTGGGAGACTGCAGGGTTGGAGGAGGTATCGGTCGGAGCTTGGTCGGGCTTGGGGGTCGAGTTATCAGTCAGCTGGTGCTGAGGTGTTGTATTCTCTTCCCTTGTTATTTCCTTTATCATTATTGTCATTGGTGGTAGCAGTAGTGATTTGTGTTATACCTTAGTTACTAAACTGTTCTTATCTCAACCCGTGGGAGTTGCATTCTTTTCAATTCTCCTCTCCATCCCTCCGAGAGCAGGGGGAGGGCAAGAAAGGGGGGGGAAGTGAGCGAACGAACTACCTGACTGGGTTTAAACCACGACAGATGCCTGCTATATCATGCCCCGTAGACGTGCACACATCTCTAATTCCTCTTGTTTGTTCCACATGCTATGGGCATTTGTATAGAGGCATCTGAGCTGAGCTCCAAATGAAACTGGCTCATTGGCTGGAGCGGCTGGGATATCTCTGCATCGCTCTGAGCGTTTATTATAGGTGCTGGGAACTGACTGGGTGTGTTGGGGTGGAATGATGCCCTCCTCCCCCAGCACATCTAGTTTAAAGCATCCATTTAGTAAATGTAAACCTTTTGGGGTAAACGAACATACCACTACATGCCAGATAACATGTTGCGTCACCTCTTATTTGCCAAGTGTTTTGTAACACACAGGATTGTGTCGTTCTAGCACAGTCCAGGTGTTTAGGACCTGAATGGTGGGTGTCATTCTCTAAAATCTATTTTGCAGCTTCCACTGAAGGGTTACTGAAGGACAGTGCTGGAGCTTAAAGGCTCAGCAGATGGTAAATCAGTTAGTTAGCTCTCCTGACTGCACCTGTACTCACTTGTCAGAGGCCTTTGTGCTTCTGTGGAGTTGCCCCCCAGTGGTTCTTTGTGTGTTTTCTTTTTGCGGTTCATGTTCTTGGTGTGCATGCAATCTCTGAATGTGAGATTAGATTCTTTATACCTGTGGAGGCATAAAGGGCTAAGAAGCTATCTTTGTTACTTTTTATTGCTGATGACAGGAAAATAAAATCCATATGTTTTCACTCTGTTTCTTAGTCCCTATTGCTTATGGTAAATGGCAAGTTATCTAACTAGGCTATGATTCTATGAACTAGTAATTTACAAATTTGCTTTAACAAAATGCTAGAGAAAAAAAAATGGAGTAGGTTTGGATCTTCTTTTTCCTCTGCACACTGATACTGGCACTTGGAGTTATTTATAAGGGAATTAACATTTATTGCTTAGTATGTGCTGCAATTCTAGTGCCTCTGTGACAGTGAATGATGGACACCATATTTGTAAAGATACCAGCTGAAGCAATAGTCAAAGATGTGCTATTTTGTCAGCACATTCAGAAAGCTAAGAATGATGGTCTAGAATTGGGTCTTCTGGACCTCTTTGGAGACATAATATGGTTAACTGCTGCAACTTTTTCCTCTCCCTGATTCCTCTTGGTCTGTTTCCTAGCAAGACCTGATTCCAACCTGGGCTGAGACATCTAATCTTAAGAATTTTTGCTTTTTCACAAAGTTGTATGAAAAAATATTATTCCAAAAAGGAACCCTACAAATCTCTTTTCAAGACTGTCTGAATAAAAACTAAGTATTAATA